CCGTGAAGGATGAGTGACGCCGACGCTACCCCACAACGCAATTACAGTCGTTACTGTAAGAACATACTCTGTACAATATTGGAATGAAAAGGCTATCATTGAACCACGGCCAACAATACGACCCACCACGTGCGTGAACACCCCGGAGGTTCCGCAAAAAATGAACTGCTGCTGCTCAACAGCATAACTATATCAAACGATCATGTCTAGCGCTCGCCTGCCCTGCACTCACCAATATTGCCTTGCAGTTCTTGCACCACTCCGCCCCGAAGTCTACCAACACCAACCGCTCGCTCCCGGTGGTCGCCAGGTAAGCTTGCAGGTCCTGCTCGTCCTCGACCTCTGTTGCCGGCAGCTTCTCTTTCACTCGCGCAGTTTCCGACTCCTTCTCTTTAGGCGAATCCGACAGACCAGTCATGATACCGCTCCCAGCCCCACCACCTTCACCCTGAGCAACCTCCGTTTGCGCCGGCGCCCCTGCGGGTGCCGGACGAACTGCCGTTGAGTTGGCCTCTGCTTGGGAGACCCCGGGTTTTGCCGCAACGCTGCCCGCCGCGGAGGCGTGTTTCAAGGAGGCTATCTCGGGGACGAAGCCGTAGGGCAAGGCGTTTGGGTTCGCCTGAGCAAAATACGAAGTAACTGCCTACGGGAAAAGAGAAAAAACAGAACGTGGGACAAGGTAGGGACTTTGCTCGAAAAACTGCAAGGCAAATAATTCTCGGCGCTTGAAGGAGTGAGATTGTTCACAACAAACCCGTGAAGTAGTTCAGCGGCACAGGACTGGAGGGTAGATGGGAAATACCACGGATTGTCACAGAACCATCTAGGGAACCATGCGGAGCTTTGAAAAAAAGGACGGACCGCCAAAGGGCGCTCAGGAAAAGTCATACCGTAGACCAAGCGCGGAACGCGAGAGCACAGGGGAAGAGAACATGCAAGCCTTACGGCAGGCAGCGCGAGATGCAAATAGCGACAACAGACGCCCCACTGAGTACGTCTGCCATTACCGGCACCGCACCCTTCACACTTCCAAGCGCCACGAGGCAGCAACCCATGCGTGACGAAGTATCTCTGGAAACAAACTGCAAGAAACCATGCGTGATGAAGCGTCGTTGGAAAACAAACTGACTTGTAGCATCCCCAATGTTCAAACCTCGCGGCAGCGCTCCAGGGAGTAGTATCCGGTGGTGGAGATCCTGTTGAACACGCCTCCAAGCACCCTCACACCGCGGGCCTCGAAAAAGCAGGCGTTGAGGTTGTAACTGTCCACGGCGTCCCCGACGCCCGACTTTCCAACCAAAAGAACGGGCGCCTTGAGAGCGGCGGCGACGTCCCCGTTGGACACTCCGCAGATCGATCCCACGGCGGGGTAGCCCACGCCGTCCACCACGACGACCTGCGAAGTCGGTCGAGGGTTCCCAGGGTGCGGCGCATTAGTCGAAATGAAATGTTTCCATCGAGCACAATACTACTGTCGTTTCACCCCTAGTTTCGGGTTTCCCACCATTTTTCATGGTTGTGACCATCATCGATCCCACGACATGGATGAACTGCGCAGTACACTTCTCGGCACTGTAGTCGAGAGCTCCCCGGAACCACCCGTAGCCTGTTGTCGGTGGGTGCTTTACCAAATGTCAGAATCAGCCGCAACGTTACAACATCAACAGCGCCAACATCACACCCAGCAATGCTACCTTTTTTCCGGAGGAAATTTCTTCGACAGCATCCCTGATCTCCTGCAACAGTTCCTCCGACGTGCCCGCCCCCCCTTTAAGGAACTCTCTCGTGAAACCCTGGAGCGGGGCGTGGATGCGGGAGCGGGGCAGGACAAGTCGCTCATGAGCGGAAGCGGGTCAAAGTATCCCCAAAGCTTCCTTTTCATTGCATCCATCTCTCGGAAGCACCGGCCAAACCACCTTGTACTCTAGCGGGGTCCGACGACAAAAGCCGAAACTCTGGCGAGCTGCCCTGGCATCGATTTTCCCAACTGAATAAACAAAAAGTGACCACACGGCGACGCTAGCCATCCCCGGCTTTTCCCTCCGCTCGAGGGACGGATCTCTCCCGGCATGTTAAGAACGCTACGTGGAAAACTGTTCAGATCCTGCCACCAAAGTTTTCATCCAGCTCTACGTTTTTCTCTATAGAAAGACGACGAAGGCGATAATGTGCTGGCTGTCTCCATTTTATTGCCGCTTCGGTGGAGGGATTCCGCACCTTGTAGAAAACCACCGGACCAATGCCTCGACAGGCGACGCCATTCGCCTCGCACCAGTCGGTCACCGGCTGCAGCTTCTCGCACTGCGTGGCCGGCTTGATGTAGGCCAGGTCGCTCGAGCACAAGTCTTTTCGTCTTAGCAAAGATCCCAGGAGGCCGAGGCACGTGGTGCTTTTGCCCACCTTTTCATGGTTGCGCACGTGCGCCATTTCAGAACGGGCGGGAAGGGGATGGCAGGAGTCAACACATTAATGCGCATGATTTTTGGGCCGACTGCTGCCTTCGCAACGACAATACATTGGAGGAGCGTCCACACGCCTAGAATTACGGGAGAACCATTCACGACAAAAGGGAAACCAACACTGCTTCCACCCCCGCGACGATTTCTTATCACCCACAGGGCTGGGAAGGTATCACTATAACCAGCACAATGCCTTGACAAGCTAAATAACTCCGAATCCACATCCTCGCCCAAGACTTGCCTGAGACCTATCCCCGGCGACGAAGACCAAAACCGCGGGCCCTGGCCCGGAAGCAGGCACTCCTCCCTCCCGTTCCGCCCCTTCCGGGGTGACCCCAAGAAGTTGTTCTCCGCGCGCGGCGCCGTGTCGCCCCCGTTCTTGGGGTAGCGGAGCAGCGACGACGGCATCATCTTCGTCAGCACTCGCATCAGCGGCGGCGGCGGCGGCGGCGGAGGACGGTTGTTGTCCCCGCCTTTGTCGGCGAAGGACTTGGTCTTGCCGAGCGAGCTGGTGGAGCGTGTCCGGGCTACGCTCGAGGAGGGCGGCGAGGCGGCCGAGCTTCGGGCCCGGCGTGGCGGAGTCTTGTGCCGCGTACACCTGGTTGTGCGGTTGGTCGGGGGCAAGCTACTAGATGAAAAACGTTAGTCAAAGGGACACGCGGGGAAATCCCTCTTCTGGGCGGGGTCGTCACTGGCAGGGGTCGTCTTACCTCTATATTATCGTGCGAAACGCCGATTCAGTGTCTCCATCCACCTAGACCTGCGTGTAATTTTCTTCTGTTCCTCCGGTAGCCAAGTTCTAAAACTCTCAACTTGGGTACCACGTGTTGAGATGCTACTAAAATGTGGCCGATGCCGCACCACGACTGGCTAGTGATACGATGCTCGAGGTGGCCACCTAGATCACAGGAGCGACCAGTCCGAGGTACGTCCAGGAACTCAAGACCCCAACACTCAACCTAGCCGTTTCTTACTTGGAAAAACCTGCGTGAACTACTGGGGCTGCCAACGCCAAAGATGGAACAATCTCGTGGAGAGCTTCTTGCACGCATCGATCGGTTTGCGAACCTTCTTGGCTGTGGAGCAATCGAGCTGTGAAAGCCAGAATGCGGTAGTTAGGGGGAGGTGCAATGTACGAAACGCGGCACGACACGCGGCCCCAATTCCCATGCAATAGGCGTGTAGACTATAGCCTCTACTTCTGTCAAAGAGGCAATACAAGTATGACAAAGCCAGGGTCCCTTCGGATGTGCACAGGGGAGTGCTGACATGTACGGGTCCCATACCCTAATATCTCTTGGCTGCTTTTGAAAATTCTCAAGTATCCCCGCCTGAGATCGCCGCTCCGGCTTTGTGCGACAACTTGAGAGTGCAACAGCCATTCCGGCAGGCGCGGTGTTGGTGGCCAGCACGAGAGGGTCAATGGTCGTAAGTAATCGGCTTTATCCATAGTCACACTTCAAGGACGGTCCTGAATCATGCGGGGTCGGCGCCTAAGGAAGTTTATGCCCACGCCAACGGATACCACCCTGCAATGCACACGCCGAGCACACGGGCTAAGCAACCCGGGGCCCTGTGACGGAGTTGAACTTGCACTTGTGGAACAACAATAGATACACCGCGATATAGCCATCCCGTATGATACGCGTAAGCACGCACCATCTTGCCAGCGCTGTAGAAAAACCAGCATGGCTCTTGATGGTCTCCCTCGCTTGTCTCCCACCCGTCGGGCAGCAGGTTAGCAGCAGGGATGCTTCCGGGATCGATGCGGCACAACAGGGCGAGACCTCCTTCAGCAGCAGCTGGCAGCTGCTCAAAGGCCTCCTCGGTGGTGGGATCATCATCCTCTCCGACAGGAAACCTGCCAGCAATCAACTTGTCATTCTCTTGCACGAGGCGCTGCAGGTGCTCCTCGCTCTCTATTGCAATCGGCGGTGCCATGTGCGACGTGTGCCACTGCCTGAGATGTTCGAGATGTTGGTGGCGGAGAATCGTGTGTGTGTGCGTTGCTTCCGGACCGGACCGTGAGATGAAACGCCGGAACCCCCGAAAACGAACGTTGGTCGGTCCAACAGCAGTCCAACAGGCCAAGTTCAACCACTCACAACTCACAACCCAAAAACCGTTGCTGGGTGCTGCTGGTGTGTTGCCCCTACCATAGCAGCCTGCCGTGCTATGGAAAATGCCTATGTAGACGAGTGTACCGCCTTGAGTAAAGGATCGGCTAGATACGATGGGACGAAGGTCGCAGCATCGCAAGCCTTTTCTCCGGACACATCAGCGGCGCACCCACCTGCGGCAGCAGCTACAGCAGCCTTGGGCATGCGCAGCAACGGGAGCTCTCTGTCTCGGCTTGCCGTTGCTGTCCTCTCCATCAGCGCCATGTTCCTGGTTGGCGTCATTTTTTCCTCCACAGCGAACATCCATTCCACGCGAGGCAACAGCAGTGACCACGATAGCAGCAGCAGCAGCAGCAGCGAAGCGGCCCTCAACATGCTTGACTCGTCCGCCGCTGCTGACGGCACGATCGTCGTTCCTGCAATGCAGCCTTTCAGCACGGTAGACCCGGCGGACGCTCACTGCCCTCACATGGACAGGCCAGAGGTGAGCACTGAGCGTACGAGATTATCGACTGCTGTTCACGGCAATGATTTTGCAACTGCGATGTATTCCCAGTAGCGTGTTCTCGTGTGTCTCTGCTGCTCGTGTGATAGCGGCTTTGATCGGATACATCGTGTTGCTTATCCACGTCTGGCGGGCAAAGACGGACGGTACAGCAGCACCAACAGTTCACGTGGTTGCAATACAGGATACCTGGCCCACAAGCGCCTGGGGTGCGCTTGCCAACGCGTCTGTCGACCTCCACACCAGCCTGCCTACGAACGCCTGGTGGGAGAACATCGTGCTTGGCTTCCCGTCGCAGGTGTGTATCATTTCCGTTTGTTTGGTTCATGTGGATACTTCAGAACGAGATGCAGGATTTTTCGTGTGCTATGTTTCGACTCTATCTCACCAGCGGCCTATGCATCGATGCATACATGAACTTCGAAGTACTTGGTTTTCCATGCATGCGTTGCACGACAACTAGTCTACTGTAGACTACGCATGCCAAGGCAACAGCATTTTGTGCGATACCAAAGATCCCGACAGTAGCAAGACACCCTCCAGCTGTAGCGACTGTCCATAGAAGTAGATTCTTCCCCGGCCTTGTTCGTGGAGACTTGTTGCAGATACAAGAGACGTAGACTAACCAGAAACGGGTACACCCGGGTGAATTATCATCATTTCAGGGTACACTTGTAAATCAACACGACACCGATCTCCGACAGCATCCGCCGTAGATCGCGACGAAACCAATAAACCGCTGTCTGTGTCCTGTGCCTCGCAAGCATGATGCACGACGCAAGTCGTGGCCGTTTTTCTCTCGTTGTACCTCTCTCTCTCTCTCTCTCTCTCTCTCTCTCTATCTGCTTTTCTGATCAGCATTATCATCATTTCAGGGTACACTTGTAAATCAACACGACACCAATCTCCGACAGCATCCGCCGTAGATCGCGGCGAAACCAATAAACCGCTGCCTCTGTCCTGTGCCTCGGAAGCATGATGCACGAGGCAGGTCGTGCCCGTTTTTCTCTCTTTGTGCCTCTCCCTGTGTGCTTTTACTAATCAGCACCACACCGAACGAACTCGCGCGTCAAGCGAGTCCGACCCTCTGTCGAGAGGGGCCGGTATCCTATGGAGGCGGTGCCCATCAACGAGCGAGCGTTGGTGGTGGTTTGGTTGTGGTTATGTGCGGTGCACGGTATGTGCGGTACACGTTTTTTTCTGCGGGTTTTATGCTAGAGCGTCGGGCGCCGGGATTATATGACCATTTCTGGGTACAAAGTCGACCTGTTCCGGGTACACCAGTAACCAATATCGGTCACACAAGAGGGTCCTAATGCCAGCGGTAGTTTTACCCGATGGATTTTTCTTCCGAAACAGGTACGATGGTTTTTCGGCATATCAGCTGAAAGCCTGGGGGTGCAAGCGTGTTGATTAATAAGTGTACCCTAATGTGGTGATAAAGTACCCCGGTATACCCGTTTCTGGTTATTGGTCTAGATACAACCACCGATCGTGCGGGTTCTCTTTTCGCGGCGGGTTTTCGTTGAATACAACGACACTTTGCTACACACAAACAATTGACGTGCCCGGATATATCAAATGCACTCCATTCCGTAAGGGCGCCCATATTAACACACCCGACGAACCAACTACCCAATCACTTCCCTCTACACGATGGATTCGTTAGGTCACACTACTGAAATATAAAATAAGACGCGCTTCCTCCTCTCACCTCGTTGTTGAAATCATCCGACGTACCTCGGTCCCTTCGTCCATCAAATTCAAGCACGGCGTCATGACTATCGAACGCCGTGCGCTCCACAGTATGTTCGACCCATACCACGCCCGTGTACGAAAGCGTGGACGAATAGAACGACCTCTGGAAAGAATACGTAGCGTTTGGTCGCTGCGTCTGAGAAGCAAGTACTTCGTATAAAAGATAGTCTGCCCCGTGTTTCTCCCAAACCAAGCCTCAAGCAGAGGGCAGATGGCAACCGGTGTTGTACACTACTCACCCCGCCGTCAAATCATCGAAATCAAACCCTCGATGCTACCATCAGGTCCACCCCAGGGTGCAGCTGGGTTGGCAAGCTGCCTAGGAACAAGTCCGTTGCCTGCTATCAGTACTTTAATTCTTTGATGTCCATTTTGATCGCTCTAGGATCTGAGCTTTCGGTGTAGGGTTCCTTGCCTTGTGAAGATCGTCGATTGCCACCACCCAAGATCCTTCCTATTGTGCACCACCACGCGCATCGGCGCGTGCACCGAACCACCAGGGTCGCCCGTCCCCTCGGCTAAGTTGACTGGGCATTCCGGCAGTTGCCGTGTATATTAAAACGTGCGAAGTCGCAAGGGCTATCCTACGCGAGGAATCGCACATCGCGGCCGTTCCTCACTAGGGTTACGCTACACGACAAGAGCGGCCGACGCTCTCTGTCCCTCTACCGAGGGGTTGCCAATGTGAACGTTTCTACTCTTGATTACACCCCACTCAAGGGTTCCCGTTTCGTTGCGGACGCCATCTCACCAGGAAACGAGGTCGAACAACATCGTCGTGATTCCCTACACTTTCGATGTCGCGGGGGACACTGCCGGCCTGAGGGTACACTTTCCCCAGGTATGCACGATCCAACACGCTTGACGTTTGGCCGGGAGTTGCGCTGTGTGCAGTTTTGCTTCGGCCGCCTGGGGCTCCCCAGGGTGATTAAGAACGGGTGGGGAGGGAGACACGTCGATGACGATCCTCGTGGTGTCGTCTCTTGTTTGGCCGGGCGCGTGTCTGTGTGTCCTGTGATTTCCAGGATTGATGCTTCGTGCAAAAACCTTGGCCTCATTTGACGGCATTGTAGAAGCAGGCCGGTGTCCTTCTCTCGTGCGCGGCAAGGCAGCACCCGTCTTGATTCTCACAGGTCTTGAGACGCTTGGCTCCTGGATCGAGGGGTCACTAATATATATAGACAGTTTGAGGCTTTCAGCCCCTAAATGTCCCGTGTCACCCGCGTGCCACAACTTACCCACTTCAACAACCGTGTAGGGCTGGGCTTGGCCTTAAGCAGGGTGAGCGCGGCGGCCGGGTTCCCTTGTCTGACGATCAACTGCAATTCGCTGATGGTTAGATATCTCTCAACCTTTTTTCCACTCCTTCTTCGTCCCGTTCTTCACCTCGAACTCCTGCCGCATCCCACGGACCATGAAAGGTGGTCGCCTCTGACCTGATCGTTCAGACAACCTTCGACTGGCGGCACGCGCTCCAGCTTGGCTGTGTGGAAAAGGTCACCGATCACTACATCACCCAGCCGGGACCCCTCTCTGTGACGCTTAACTGGGACGTGGCGGCCGGGGCTACGAGCACGGGGGCTCCGGCTATGAGTGTCCCCGCCGTGCGCGGTTCTCCGTACGCTACGATGGAATATCGCGGGGTTCGTCCCGTTATTTCTGCTCGCCAGGTGGGCACGAGTGGGCGGTGATGACAACGGTTGTTGTTGTGGTTACTGTTGTTGTTGTTGTTGTCATGTGTCGGTTGTGGTCATAAGGGCCTCCGTCACACGCGTTGGAACCCGAAGAACTGATTGGGTTTTACTCCCTTCCCGGACAGGAACTGTCGGACCCGCCCCTACCCATCGACTTCTCGCGTGCTCCCACTCACAATCAAATTCTCTAGGAAGTCACGCAGCTCGTGGTCGACGGCGAGCGGCTTTCCCTCTCCTCTGGCTGCGAGAACGGGACCTCGGTGCACGTGGAACGGGAGGTGGAGATCATCTTCTCCGGCGGAGCGGTTAGCAGCGATGACACCTGGCTCGTCTTCGTCTCCCACCCGGCGGAGTTTCTGTGCAGCTCTTGGTTCGCCATGGAGCGCGGGGAGCCCCCCACCCCGGGCGCCGTCGGCGCTTGGCAGAGCATGCCTCGATTTAGGCTCGAGGCCGTCCGCGCGGTGTCGGAAGAAGAAGGCGGTGTGGTCCGCGCGGCCATGGTCAACTCGTGCACGTCGGGCACAAGCAACAGGTTGGGATCTTTTGCGTGCTGGGGTTGTTGTCACCTGATCAGGCGTTTCTGACGAGTGAATCAAGCCAGGAAATGGAACAGGCAGTGTGTCTGTCCAAGAAATCGCGCAAGGACGAAAGCATGTACCAGTTGTGTTTTCGTGTATTTTCAGGAATCCCGTTCCGATGTTGATGTTGTTGTGGTCGACGCCGCCGTCTTGCTGCTGCTGCTGCTGCTGCTGCTGCTGCTGCTGCTGCTGCTGCTGCTGCTGCTGCTGTTGTTGTCATTATTGTTGTTGTTATTGCTGTTGTGTCGGCCGCCAGGGAGCGCGCATGAACTGGTGCTGTCGTTCCAAATGAGACTTGAGGTCGTAGATCCCAACAGGCAACCAGAAATTGGAGTACGATTGCGATCCTTGAGTGGCAAGATGGGCACTGTACATATGAAACACCTTCTTCCGCACGACACGCTCTGATGCCATCCTTTCGAAAAGCGAGAACCTGTGAGAACACGCACATGACAACCGTTCGTGGGACTTGCGCAACACAAGAAGATATCGGTCGGCGCATCGGTGCCCCGCACTCGTGTGTAGATCAGCTTGTGTCACTTGATGGCCCACTTCCTGGCCTACTCAATGTGTGGAATCAGGTGCACGAAGCCCGGGGAACCCGATGACAGGGAGGACTATGCCAAGCTGCTGCGGGCGCATGCTGAGGTTTATCCCACGGGACAGGCCAGAGTGTCGTACTCTTCAAGCAGTCTCGACTGGATCGAAGACGCCCTTCAGGTGTGTGAGGTTGGTTTGTTTTGTGGCGGTCGCGGCTCTTCCTGTTTTTGGTGTTGTTGCGGTGGCCACCGTTGCCACCGCCGCTGCTGTCTGTGTCTTCAAGAGCTTCCGAAAAGCTTCTCGATACTCCGCGTATCCCTACCCTGGAGAAACTAGGATTGCTTGAAGTTGTCGTGAGTGCGAGGCGTTTTTTTTTTTTCTCTGCAAAAAGATAGTGGATTATCTTGCATAGGTATCTTCCCGCCCTATTTGAGGCATCTTCGGTTGCTGTCGTTCTGCTTTGGTTCCCGACGGCCGTTCGGAGCGTACTCGTTGTTCTCACGCAAGGGCCGACAAGAAGGTTTGCCGAGGACGAGGGTGCTTCCGAGATAAGTTGTTGATTCGTACCCCAACCCATGGCGTGCTACCCCTCGGGGTCTTACCGATGTCGCCCTTTTTCAATGGTTCTTCGTTCTACAGGGCGACGTCGCCCAGACGACCGACACAGCTAGGTTGGCGGGAGACACACAAAAATCTGCCAGGACCGCCCCTGCCTTGGCGGGCGCAAGCTCCAAACTCCACGCCGAACATGAAGGCGACGGTGCCGAGGAAGAGGGATACCTGAGGTTCCTGTGGGCCCCGAAGCGGATGGACGGCAAACCGGTCGTCGCAGTGGACCCCGCAGCAGCAGCAACAGCAGCAGGGGACGATGGTGGTAGCGATAGCGGCGAAAGAAACAGCAGCGGCGGCGACAGCGACAGCGCTGACGAGGGTGCCGACAGCCCGCCGCTAATAATGTTCGCGTTGCTGCACCACCGACAGGTTTTCACAGCTGCGGACGGGCTCACCGACATCGGAACACCCTCGCTACACGGCCAGGTGAGGTCCGAGGGCCAGGAAAAATCATAGTTCAGAACTGCACCTGGTCTGCACGGTTGTTTGTTTCAATGTTCAGCCTGGAGGGACAGCATTCCAGGAGAACGTCACTGTTCTGTTTCGGAAGATCTGCGGTGGATGTGTTCGATCTTTGCTCTCTGACGCTGCGTTGACCGCCCTTCGAAGAGACTCCGTTCATCAGCAGTGCCGCTGAATGGTTGTTCGCTTGTTCGGAAGCAACCCTCTGACATATGGCGATAACCCCCGAGGTTGTCCTGTTTCCGGTGGCGTTGTGGTTGCTCGGTTCCTTGTCATGATCCCCCCCCCTCGCTGGAACGTATGTGTGCGACATCAGGCAGAGGTGGCCATAGGCAACGAGTGGAGCATGAAGGTCGCCCTTCCTCCCGTGTCTTTCGGGGTGGGACGGCCTGTCCGCGAGGAGATGGTCGCCGACGTTAATGAGGCTCTGGACGAAGACGTGAAGTACGAGATGCCTAAGAACTATCTCAGAGGGGAGGGAGACAGTGAGTTTGCCGCAACAAGGCAGTGTTCGGTGTTGTTCGATGCAGCCGATAGATCCGCACGGCAGCTTCAGCGAATCAGGAGGAACATACCCCGCAAGTACGAACGTGATATTCACACTCTGAACCTCTTGTGCGAGGGCAGCAGGTCATGAGAAAATAGGTGGCATTCAATCTGGTTCACGACGACATACATCAAAAGCAAACACGGGATGGGCGACGATTTGTTGTGTAACGGCGAAACACTCTTTGCAGCTTCAGTAAAAGCTTTCTTGAGTGAACGATGCGTCCTTTTTTTTGGGAGGGGGGGGGGGGCTTCACTTCAAATAAGCGCTCACAGCACTGGTGTTGCCGTTTACTCCAACCCGTGGTCACACAGAAGAGCCCCTCTCTACCCTCCCCTCCTGCGGTACTTTGCCTTCGATTTTTAGTGCGAGAAGAGTTCAGCACTCTCTTTCCTCTGTGTACACACGAACTAGCGCTATCCACTAGGCCAGGAGCGGAAGCGAGAGAAAAACTCACTTTGCAAGAAAAGCTCGCTTACGCCGGGATTCGAACCCCTGAACTGACCTCTAGAAGGTTTCGAGGTTACCAACTAGACCACCGGGGCGACCGGCTGTCCTTGCAGCTGGTAGAACGCGTATGTCAAGTGTGCGTCGAGGTCGCGAGTTGGCGTTTTGGACGGCAAAGAAAACGGGCTGCTATGGACCCGCTACCCGCTGCCGATGAAGACCCTCTGTGTGGCTTTCCTCCTCCGTGACCCCGGCTGGTCCACGAACATACCGTTAGGCGAACAGTGGCAGCGCCCAAAATCGTTTTTTTTTTTTTGTGGGGCTTGGCACTGGGCCAATGAACGCTCAGTCCTCGACGACAGCACCATGCTCTACAACGTTGATGCACCACGCGTCCTTACCCGTTGGACGGCACATTCGGCCTTCCTTGCGCCTGCAAACCTTTGCCGCCTGTCCGCCTTAAATCCCACTGATTTTCCCTCTTCTTGCTCGTTGACCCCGGCCCACCCGCCCACGGCGAACCCACCGCTGCGGATGTTGGCGCTTCGGCCGCCGGCCTTCGTCCACTCCTGGTGAAAAACCAACGGAAATTCGCATTAGCGTACTTTTCCGGGAAAATGTTGGCCAAGATGGGGCGAATCGCGCTCATCGCCGAGGAAATGGGGCGCCCGGAAGACGCCAGAATGGTGGCGGCTCGCCTGGCCGAAGCATCTCAGGTACAGAGTGTGGGAAGGCACAGCAGTACCCCAGTTTTGCTTCTTTGGGTCCGACCCTTTTCCGGAGAGTTTTGGTACGATTTATTTCGTGTGACACAACATTGATAACACCGTCGACATATTTTCCACGCACTAAACGACCCCCCTTGGCACGACAACCACTTCTTGCTTGGCTTTGTTGCTGTAACGCTTGTTATTGCGAAGACAACAACAATGCCTACCTGGTAAAACAATGCCCTGAACGACAGGTTTGGCTGAACGGTACGGCGGGGTCCCCATTGCTCTACGACTTCCGGTGGGGCGGCGTGGTCACTTGCGGCTGCGCGTATGAAAAGGACCACGGTTGCATGAATGGTATCGGCCCATATCAGTGCCCAGGCCTTAGCGACCCCGGGATGAACTTCGGCCTTGGCTTTTACAACGATCATCACTTCCATTTCGGTGAGTGGGACGGGCGGCGCACACAGCAGCAAACAATACCCTCTGAGACATATGCACGTGTTGAGAAGGTGACGCTTACCTTTTGCGTATTCCTACTGGACGCCCGCCGTATCGACGCTGAGACACCTCCAGGCGACAATTTTATTTTATTTTATTGGGAACAGCTCGAGATAGGTGAGGAGTTGTGCGACGAACTCCAAAGTTGTATCCCTGGCGCGACCACCTTGCCTGAATCCCGCTAGTCGCCTTACTCTCGTGTGTTGCATGAAGTGACGCCTGCAGTTGAGGTGGCTCGTTCGCCTGTTTGGTAGTGCGCTTTAACAGAACTCACCCGGCAATTGCGCAACTCTTGAGTCTGAAAGGTCAATGTCAGAATCACCACTCTGCGCATTTTCTCGTGCCTGCTTGCATGAGTTGTCATTGTCCTTCTTTTCCAAGCAGTATACCGTCGCGAGGGGCAGCTAGACGTAATAAGTAGTATTCCCCGACCAGTTTGCGTCGTCGCCCCGTCCTTGCGAGACAGACCAACGTCGTGTTTTAACCGCGGCTGCTATTTCTGTTCTACGCATAAATGCGGCGTATTCTCGTCCGAAGAGGCTCACGGCTCGTTCGTTTTATTTTTTCCCGCTCTACCTCTCTCTAAAACAACAGGTTACCACATCTTTGCGGCGGCGATCGTCTCCAAGTTTTTCCCGGATTGGGGAATCAAGCACCACGAGGCCGTGACGCTGCTCATCAGAGACATAGCAAACCCGTCCAGCTCGGACCCTTTCTTCCCGGTGTTCCGACACAAGGTATACAGGGCAATGTCTGCACACCTACCGCATGTTCGATCCACGAGCGGCAAAAATGACCGCAACTCTACTTTCAAGTGTTTGGGACGTGTCAGCGGCATCCAAATGAAATATGGCACCACTGCTGCTGCCCTTGTGCTCCAAGCATCCCAGGCAACCTTTTTGTACCTGCCCGTGATGGGCGTTGGCGAATCCAGTACAGTTAAAATTGAGCCCACCATCGTTCTGAGGTATTCTTCTGCCAGACCATGTACCGTGTAGGAGGCACTGTCGTTCATTGCCCTGCTTTCTGAGTTTGTTGCTAGAGTCGCCAGGTACAACTCGCTAAACCAACCTCTGGTTTTGAGACAGCATTGGTCATGTACAACCCCGCAACGTATTTTAAGAGAACCTTGCCATGAATACCAAGCACTTCCGCGGCGGTGCCAGGATTGGTTCTTGGGGTCATCGTGGGCCCTTGGCATCCCCACCCTGGGGGGGGTCCCGTACATGAACGGTCGCAACCAGGAAAGCAGCAGCGAGGCCGTCAATGCGTACTACGCCGTCGCCCTCTATGGCCACGTCATGGCACAGGTAGATAACCGATCTCCGTCTCCACGTCTCTCGCTGCTACCATTGTTGTTGTTGTTGTCGTCGTTGGTGGAACTGGTTTCGTTGTTGGTGCTGTAGGTGTCCGTTATGAAACGTTGGGACTCTGCGACCCTATCGCTACTCGTGCGACCCAACCGGTTCGACATGGCCTCCGCCAAACGGTTGAAATTGCGTGGTGCGGGAGAAGTACACGATGGTAGTATTAAGCGTTCTGGAACCGACATGTGTTACGCGACGTCGCAGTGTCGAACAGTATCACCACCGCCTGGTTAACACTGTGAACCCAACAACACTTTGTGGTGCATGGTTTCTCCCTATATTAGGCGGTATTTTCGAAGTACAAAGGCTGGTCACCCTGCGCAAGACCGGTGAAGGCGCGTGACACAGATGGAATATCCAATTCGTCTCGTACTCTGAATATTATGGGGTGCCCGGTATGAGGCCAGCTACATCCAATCCCTCGGAACGAGTTGGCCTTATAAATGACCACTACTCTACGTGCCTCCCTCTAGAACAATATGCGGCCTGTTGTTCTGTCCGTGCTGGGTTCTCCAACCTCATGCGGAAGCAGCCCTGTTGTCTTCCGTATCCAAGATTTTCTCTTTGTCGTTACGACCTTCGTTTTTCTGCATGTGATTCTTGCCGGTGACCGTCTTGTCCTAGGTGTTCTCCTCAGCGGGCGATCCGGCAAAGGCGCAGGCGGCCTCCCTCATTCGGGACACTGGGAGGCAGCTTCTCGCCACGGAAGTACAGGTGAGAGAAGAAGGATGACGAGGAGGCATCGGAATGGCGACGGTTCATGATCGGGGGATCTTTATTGATGGTTGTTCACCGAAATGCAACAAGAACTCGGGTACACAAAATGGGAGCGAATGATGAAGAGGCGGCGGCGCGGTCAGAGGGTGCTACAAGCAGGAGAGACCCGGACGATGAGAGAGATAAGTAGAAAATGAATGCTTCGACTGAGATATCCATCAACTCGGGGGCGACTTCGCAAGCAAGTGTAGTACATCTCCAAATTCGTTTGACATGCATACGGATGGACACTGTGGTAGAGGGTCGTCTTGCGGGAGTGCAGCGGCGGCGTAACCCCTCTCCGCGATCCTCCCACCACAGCTCTTTTTCCCGGTTGCCCTACCCCATGATTGCTGGGCATTTTGTGTCTGCACGGTGGATCACGCAGTCCGCCCAGATTTACTGGCAAGTCGCCAACGCAGGCACCCCCAACTTGCCTAGAGTGTATCCGGAGGCCTACCGGCCGCACGTCGTCGGGATGCTTTGGAGCACGCTGGCGCAGATGCAGACCTGGTTTGGTGCGGAGGCCTGGAAAGTTTACGGGATCCAGGCAAGCTGCCTATCCGTCTCTTTGTATCTGCATGTTCAGTTCCATTCACTTCACCAACAGCGACACAGGTTGCCTCCAAGAAAGTGACCCGGTTGTCTCCGTTGCCGCGAGCCTCCCCTTTTGTCGGCGGCGTTTTGGATGCCTCCCTAGCATCGGCTGTCGCGTTTTAGTTGTGGGTGCTAGACACCCTTTGATCGTGGCATGCCCTTCTTCCTCGCCCTTGCACCTGTTGCGCAACAGATGCTACCAATCACCGGAGTTAGCGAGCAGCTGCTGGACCCGCGATGGGTGCAGCAGATGCTGCCGTCGTTCGAGGATTCTTGTCTGCACGACAGCAACCCCATAAAGGCCTGTGTCGTGGAGGGGTGGTCGATGCTCGTGCACGCAGGACAAGCGATCACCGGCAGGTGCGGCGATATGTCTGTTGCTGCTGATGTTACCGTTGCCGCTATTTTGCAAGTGGTGTGTGCTGGCAGCGTGTTCGAAGAGCTAGACAGGCATGCAAGGCTGTGAGGTTTTGTCGTCTTCGCTCCCTTGCATGGAGCGCAGTTGGCATGCGCCGTGTCGTGTCTAGCGATTGCGTAGTTTCCATGGTCCTCGCCACGCTGGCCCAGTACCTCTCTTCTATTTCTTTGTTGCGTGCCGCCAAAGGGTCAACATGCGTGACACCCCAAGGCGGTTACTTGGCTCTATTACGGTGGGGTGTCATGCGTTCATGAACGCTGGCATGGCACTGATGACAGTTAACTGGAACATGGTTCGCCCAACAGTAACGCAGTGAAGGGTTCTCCCAATTCCGAGAGAGAATATTTCTATTATATCCATAATCTGATTTATACATCAAATCACCCTTCACGACCCCCCTTCGTCCTCGAATTCGAAACTCGTGCTTCCAAGGTGGGAAGATGGTAGAGATGGGATAATGGCCCTCCCAGACGACGTGTTCGAGACGGCGGGCGGAAATGGTCACAGTCGAACGAGCATGCTGTGGTTTGTGGCCAATCGCCCTCCCCCTCCGCCACCCTCGGGTGATGACGACAGTGATTAACGTTTGCGATGTCAGGGATTCCTCACCTTCCCCGACAACAAGCGTTTCTCCTCATCGGAGTAGAAGCCTGACTGGGTTTACTGTTGTCAATTTTGTTTTGCGCCCGGATTTTTGACTGCGTAGAGTCGATGAAACGTGGCATGCGGTCAGCTTGTGGATTTTTTGTTTTGGACGTATGATTGTACGTGAATTGAAGGTTGCAGCGAGGCGTGTTGCAACGGTTTGTGTGTAGAGCAGATGCTTGATGAAGGTTTCGGCTACAAATCTACAGCTACACACCGCGATTGCGGGCGTTTATGGCGCTTGGTTGTTGGACTTGGTGTTGAATTTCAGTGATTGACAGGAACGGGGATAACAGATGACCGAGTTTGGTGCAATAGTGCATGACTCGGGTTCGAGAGGGCTCACAGACAGGCAGATAGGCTGCCAGGCAAGATATTGAGATATGACATAGAGATATACGAAAGAAGGGGGAGCGAGAGAGAGAGAGAGAGACAGAGAGAGACAGAGAGAGAGAGAGAGACAGAGAGAAAGAGAGAGACAGAGAGAGAGAGAGAGAGAGAGACAGAGAGAGAGAGAGACAGAGAGAGAGAGAGAGAGAGAGAGAGATAGAGATAGAGATAGAGTGAGAGAGAGAGACAGAGATAGAGATAGAGTGAGAGAGAGAGACAGAGAGAGTGAGAGAGAGAGAGAGAGAGAGAGAGAGAGAGA